CCTTCTTGGTCATGGAATCATATAGGTACACCGAGCTTGTTAGGTAGAGCGTTGAAGCTGCTTCGGGGCCTCAAAGAAGCGATCCTGTGGCCACATTGTGAGGCTTGGAAACTAAGCGCAGACCGCTTGGCTTGGAATTCTTGTGTAACATGTCGTACGCCAGAAATGACTGTCGCAACATACTGCTTTCAAGTTTGCACTGTTCTCTGCAGCCCGTCGATGAACGCAGGGTCGAGTTGCTTGCAGTGCTCAGTATATCTCGGTTAAGCACGGGGTCAGAGGCCGGGTCTGTGGGGCGATTGACTGTCCGACCCCTTCCGCATTGTCCTTTTAATGAGACGGTTTTGAGTTTTTGTGTACAGGGCTGCAAAGGAGAGAGTAGAGGAGGCCGCCGTCAAGGAGCGTTCCGCTTCGATCAAGCTCGGCAAGGTGAATATTCACGCTATTGATGACGGGAATCCGAAAAGTTGCGGCACTTTCTGGTTTGCCAGTTCAAGTTTCGAAACTCAAAGGTTCTGAACCGGGATGCGCTGCTGCTGGTCCCCGTTCTGAGTTCTTACCTCCTTCCCGCCCTCGATCAGAATGAATATCCATGGAAGATCGCGGAAGGTTCACATTTGCATCACCTGCATATACCTAGCCCATAGCGGGGCACTGAATGTGACCCCACTGCTGACAGGCGGCAGTCGAGGCGAGCCAGATCCGGAAACAGCTGGACGCCCAAGCGAACCGGAACAAGGAGCTGCTGTCCGAAAACGGACGGTGAGCCGTCCGCTTCCGTTCCACCTTTGGAGTAATTACTTTGTTCGCACAATCTGGCGGTTGACGGCAAAACGTCAGCAATGCGAGGTGGTTGACGAGAGTGGCAACAAATTCTCGATGAGTGACGGCGCGCTTTCGGAGCGAGGTACGGACTGATGATCCGCTTTTGCCTGTACGAACTATTCTTTCTTTGGATCTTGCCCTCAGCCAAACGTCCAAGGTTCAAATCCGGTCATAGGCAGGTTATCTCTAAATCTCAAGAATGATAACGACCAGCCAAGAGAATATGAAGCTCCGACCAACACGGAAAACATAACCCAAAAAAGGACCAGCTCCGCAAACGAATCCTACCCGTCCCAGTACGGTTTCCTTGTCATCATTTTGGCTTATTGTTGCCTTTCTCGCGTTTGAGACTATGTGGGCCCATGTTCTCAACAACCGACGTTCTTCCGGGCCTCGTGCGCTGCCGTGTACTCTGGCCATGACGACGAGGCTAAAATCTGGGTGCGGTAAAACTCGACTTGCTGTAAACATCCGACTCGTTCGCAATCATACAAAGTGCTGCCCGTGCTGCGACCACCCGAGTGGTCAGTAACACGGTCAACGGACGAACCGAGGGTCGTTGCTTACGGACAGGCTTTACACGCGGTCAATTCGCACGCCTCACGTACAATTGTGCGCGCACTGACCACCCGAATGGGTAACAACGGAATCAAAGAACGAACCGAGCCTGACTGCTTACGGACAGGCCTTCCCTTCTTGCTTTCTGCGCAGCTTACAAGAAACGTGCGCGCTACACTTACCTAATCAGTCACGACGAGGTCAGAGAATCAGCCTGATTTCAGGTCAGCCCTTGACCCGTGGTTTGGAGCAGGTTACAAGAGGAGGTGCGCGCGCTGCGAATCAACGACTGGGTCATCATCCCAACCCAGTTCAGTGCTTATCGTCTGCCCTTAACCCGTGGTTTCTGCGCAGGTTACAAGAGGAGGTGCGCCTGCTGCGGGCTACACTGGCACAAAGGGAAGTCCTGATTCGAGACTTGAGAGAAGGCGTCGACACCAGCGCATCTGCGGAGGCGGAGATGAAGACCCTAGAAATCAGGTAAACCACAACCCATGTTAGACCAGAAACAGGTTTAAACAGGTCCGGTGTGCCGTTCAGCCTGGCAAGTTGAGCGCAGCCTAACTACTTTGCCGTGGGTACCGTGGCGGCCCTGGAGAGCCGGTTCCCGTTCCGTCCGGCAGGGCGTTATTAAGCTCAGACAGGGAAGCGGAGTCAATGGGGAACAGGCGACATCTTTTTGAAACGCAAAGCACGTGCAGCTCGCGGCCGATGAACATATTACGTGCGCGACCCAATCGAAGCCGAAGTCAACCATCTTCGCACCAACCGCCTTTCTGCGTTGTCGTTGTGTTGCTCTTGTCTCCTTTATCCTGGAGGAGGAACGGTGCGTTTTCAATTACTTTCGTCCGTTCGCAGACCAGAACGCCGGCAGACGTTGTGCCGCGAGAGTCGTTGAGGCGGGTCCTTGCCACTTGAAAAGACAAACGCCTTTTGAATCTCTTCTTTTGATCCGTTTCCCTGACCGCAGTCACGAAAAGAACGAGGAATTCGACAAGGCCACCTGTCGCGGACGCAAGCCCTCTGCTGTAGTCTCGACTTTCAAGGCTTGGACCTTGAGAGACCTATTTTCTTGAGAGACCTATCCAATCTTCTCGTAAGAGATTGCTGCCAGCAGAGTGACGGCTTATCCGCCGGTCTCGCGAACGCGTGTACACGCACACAGCGAGTATCGTGGTCAGCTTGCGCGCTTGGCAATCTCCTCTAGGAAATGCTGACTAAAGTCCTTCTGATGTCTGCAAAGGAAGGAAAGAACCTAACCTCTTTCCGTTTTCGCTGCAGGCGGTCGCCTTCCGCGAGCAGTCTACCTGGCAAAGGCACGCCCCGCACGCCGTCCGGAGAGCGCTCCTCGACGAGGATCTCAATGAAGAAGCTGGGCGATGGTAGCGGGTTTGTCGACAAGCGTTGCACCGACGGCCAGCTTTCTGCGCGTTCCGTTGAGCCCGGGTTTGAGAGCGGAAAAGTTGAGCTGAGCCGGATCCCCGTTGCGGCAGCTGGCTAGCGACGGTCACCCGGGGGAACGAAACGAAATGACAATACGAAAGCTTGAGAGGGCGCCTACGATCGATAAGGCGGGGAGAACTGAGCTGTTTCGTGTATAGGATGACCGGCCTGTCTAATTTGCAGTGCAGCCGGCTAGGTGCAGTAGGTGGCAAATATACTAATGTGCTCCTATATATAAACTATAGGTCTAAGTGGCAAGGGCGATCCTCGAAGAGATGCAGTGACGTCATGGAGGCAGTACTGCACACTTGATAAGATTCACCGGCATGCCCATCACACATTGACCGCTTTTACAAAAACTGAGCCGTTGCGACTGGCGAGTTGCGTCAGTGCTTGCTTCACCGGTACTAACTCCTGGAAAGCAATTATTGGATGCGGTGCCAGTCCTTCCCGCGTACCGCGTGCTTCATTGCGCGATCAAAGGTTACGACTACCATCTTAGCGGGCTAGGTATAAACGAAATAAAGGTGGCGAGACTCGTCGGCGTGTACGATGTTTTAATTGCTTCTCTCCTACATGCACTCGCGTATACACGGGTCGCCCGCATGCATGCCACTGATAGAAATGTTGACTGAGTACGGTCAGGTCCAGCTGCCGCCATGCTTATCTGCAGACTGACCGCGCGCGCTCGATCCGACGTTAGTATCGTACGGTATTTGGCAAAAAGGGCCGCGGCCGGCGCGGAAGGTCTAAAGATAAGACGTGCTTTTGAAGGCGTCGATCAACATACCGCGAGCCTGCTAGAATGTTTAATGTTAGAGCACGTACACCGTGGCGCCAAACTCATTCATTCCAATCTCTGGCCGAGCCGCACATGCATGCTCATAGCAGCTTGATACGATGCGGTTTAAATGTGACGTCACATGCGCAGATGAATCTCCACAGCCGGAGCTTTCATACACGTTCCAAGTTGCATCTTGGACGTGCTTCGCAATGACGTCTAGTCTTATTGATATGTTCGTCATCTTTCATGCTGCTTGGGTGTTGTAAGTGAGTCAAATCTGATCAGCACTGCGGCAGACAAGCCGGATCGCCTCCGCCTATAAGCAGGCACAATCAACAATCTATTGGTTCACAATCTATTTTAGCAACCTCGTTTCTAGCATTATTACTTCAACCCTTAACCTCTCTAGATGGACCAATTTGACGGCCCAAAGGCTGCTTATGCAGCAACGGAGCAGCCGTTACAACCTGCATGGACGCTAATATAAAGGCCAGAGCAGAGCCAGTAACTCTGACCTGATCCTTTGTGCAAGCGACCGCGCGCTACTGAACTTGTCCTACGCAGGCTTTGCTTGAAAATCTTTAGACGCATAAGCTTTCTGGATGCTGGAGGGCGAGCCGGGGGACGTGGTCAAACGCCTGATTATTGGCTTGCTTCCCCTTTTGCACTTTCTTAATATGTTACAAAACTACAACTCAAGATTAGTAACCCTCAGTCTAAACAACAAACAAGACTAACCCGTTAGTACGTACCCGCAACACCCAAACCCCAACCCAACCGAAAGGACAACTCGTTTCCCTGTGCTCCCTAGTGAGAGTGCGTGCGAAATCACATCGACTTTGTCCTTGCAAGCGCGGTTGACGCAAGCGAGAGCTTCTCACGAAGCTCGTGGCCCCGGCTGTTCGCCACATGAGACCAGTATATCGCGTCCATCGTTCTCCCTGCCTCGTTTTTGGCGACCACTTGCTCTCTTTCGCCCACCTTCTGCGTCGCCCCCGGACACCCACACTTGCAGTACCGGCCGCTGATCGGGGCATCCAACAACTCGGAGGGGGGCGCATACAGGCCCCTAAATCGGGCGTCGCTCGGGGCGACCCTTGAGAGAGCGGGGCCTCCTGCGGCGTCGCCCTTATTTACCTCCCTCAGACGAGTAATTTCCAATGCTTCAAAAAAGTCGGAAGCGTCGCCCAAGCTCTGAGTGCGCCTGAGGACGTGGGGGCTGGGAGGCGCTCTCGCAAGCGGCTGCGGGTTCGGGCGGGGCTCGGTCACTTTCTGGAGGGTTCCCAAAGGCTGGGCAACGGGCCCCCCGAACGAGGAGATGCTCGAAGGCGCTGACTTCGGGTTGCGGGGCAAGTTGAGCTTGGGCGGCTTGGCGAGGGCAGCGCTTGGGGGGCTTCCGGGGGCCTTGTTTTCCGGCGCGCCGCCGGTGCGCGGGCCCCGGGGGCGGGTATCCGTGACAAAAGACGGCTCGGACAGGGGCCCCCCCAGAGTACGCGCGCGACCGCTCGCGCGCGGGTTGCGCGTGTGGGGGGGAGGTCAGGTGCGCCTTCCCGGGGGGGGGCGTTTCGAGGCCCCCGTCCACGCAGGCGGCCATCGGGTGGCGCGAGAGGCAGATCGGGCAGCGCACCGCGCGCAGGCGCGGGTTTGAGGGTTTATCCCCGCGCAGGTCGCCCTGCACGACCAGCTGCATGCACGCCAGGTGGCAGAGGTAGCCGCAGTGCGGCGCAAAGAGCGTCTCGCCGCAGCTGAGGGGGCGCACGCAGATGGGGCACGCGGGGGCGCGCGCAGGGGAGGGGGCCTGCAGGAGCGGAACGGAGTGAGGTTGGGAACGGAACCGGAGGGATAGGAAAAGGTCGTGTCGGAAGAAGAGAAAAGGTTATATCGTTCGGGGAGGAGAAGGGCCCTGTAATGAACGGACAAAGGAGGGTTTTGGTTGTGCGACAATATTTACTGGTTTCAGAAGAGTAGGTCTCCAACGCTGCGTCCGAAAAAGGGCCGCAAGAGAACAGGCTGGAGTTCAGAGGGGAAAGCAAAAAAGCGGAACGCGTTCGGACAAAATTGCCTGGTCAGGCGAACGGTGTCCTGCACAGAGAGGAGCTGCAAGAAGCAGATAAACTGAGCGTCGGAAGTCAAGCAAGGCAGAAAACAGAACCGTACTGATCGATTCAAAGCGGAGGCAATCTGAGAGAATCTTGATCGCTGAGAGCGGACAAGAGTACAAAAAGTGGAAGCCAGAGCATCATTTGCGCTTGCAGGGCGCCTTCAACCGCAAGCTTAATACATAGATTAGGTTTACTGTGGTTTCTTCTTCTCCTTAATCTAACATAGTTACAATCTCCTCTGTGTCTTTTGGACGAGGAAGGTGATACCAGGATCTGAGACTTCCAAGCTGCGCAGAACGCTTAGTTCATGAAGCGGGCGCAGACCAAGTCGATGTGCATGGTCTATCAACGATGTTCGGACAGAGCAAACGATTCGGGTAAACAGGATTCCGGTTGAGCACCACAAAGATTTTCTGAAGGCTTTCTAGAAATTTGCAACCTTCAAACCGAAACCAATTAATGCGGATGCCACATTTTCAATTGGGTGACGGCGACAGAGATTAATTAAATAAAATTCGATTTATTTTTTTTGCTTTTTTTATTTAGCAGAGCCACAGCCTTTCAACAAAGACTGTTGGAAGACATTCGTTCATTTATACGGATACAGAATGGAAAATGATCAGCCAAGATAAAAAAAATTGCGTAGACGGTAAAATGAGGAGAGGAAAAAGGAGTAAGGAGTTTCCCCTGGAAACACTGAGTTGGGGGAAGGCAAAGCACGTCTGAAGACGAGTTCAAGGAGACAAAGACTATCAAATAGCCACTACTGTTTAAGCAAGCAAATAGGGAACTGCGTCAAAGTTTGAATGAGGCCAGATCATCTTTCCATCGGACCAACACACATTTATCTGGCTGAAAGGTCGAAAATTGAAGGGTTTTTCGACACTCTTATTCGAGACAGTCCACAGGAGATGATCTGATACATCATTTAGAAGGTGTTGTCACAAACAGCTGTCTCGGATTAGCAGTCTGCTTCAGTGACAGTACTAAAGAACGCAGGGTGCGCTCAATACTGAACACCCTCAGCGAGGCAATCGCAGAGCATTGAGGGAAACCTCCCCAGCATGGCTGCCTGCGATCTGAAATACACCCTCTCGGTTTTTATCTCTTGCTGTACTTATTTGAAAATTGAAGCAATGACAACTTTCGCTACAGGAGGCTGGATATGTAACAGCAATCTGAGTTGAGGAAGTTGGTCTTTTCCAGCTGCGAAACCCTGGCTGTAAAAGCGCTAATAGACAAACAAGATGGAGGCAGATCAGAAAGGCGCCTCACCTCAGACTTCCTTTCTCCGGCTACCAGTGTGGAGGAGAGCTCTGTGGGGAGCCATTTGGCCAAAGTGACGCTGGGGCGCTGCGAGGGCAACACAGAAACCCCCTGGGAAGTTGTCCTCAGCTTGCCCCCTCCATCTTCTTGCTGGCTACTTCCTTGAGTAGCTGAGAGGCTGCGGCCAAGCAATGGCTGGCCGGTGTCGCACATCTGGTGTCCAGTCATTCCTTGACTCTTCACTGCTCCCCTTGAGATCGTGTCTGTGAAGCGAAAAAGAGCAGCTTGATAGTCAGCTTTGCATGGCTGCTTCTTGCCTAGGTCTGATGTGGAGCGCATAGACTCTGAAATATTAATCTGAAACTGTGGAATGTAATCAAAGATGAAGTGGAGGTCAACCGGCAAGCTCTTCTCGTATGGAAGTTGAGAGGGTTTCGATCTGATTTGCCGGCAGATTTTAAATATTCATATTAGCTGTGCTTGTGCCAAAACATCATATCAGACTACAGGCACAAAATAGATGTACTTCAGGTCAACCAAGGAACTCTCAATCAAAAGAGTACAACATCTATCAGGTCACAACCGAATCTTGATTATGAACTGCGCCAATGAGGACTTTCACAGGTGCCAACAAAGAATGGTTTCTATACTTGTGAATGATGCCGGACTTTAACCTAGCATTGGCAGGCCCGTTGTGGCCAAGTAGCTGGCAAGCCTTTGAAGTGCTAAACTGGCGCATGCTTGAAACAAGCTGTCACTGAAACGTGCAATCAGTTCAGGGATTGTCCTTAGAGAGAATGGATTCAGGAACGAAGCAGAATGCCAGCCTATAGACACGCTGATGCGTAAGTGATATGAATTAATGCTCCATCTGGCAGGCAATAAACCAAGTATCCTCCCTCATTGGTATAAGAGCAAGAGGCTGGTCAACAAAGCAAGAACCAACAGACTCACCAACAGGCACCCCATGCTTCTGGCTCTCCACCACAAGCAGGAGGGACTTGAGCAGCAAGCTGTTTGCCATAACTTCATGCCAGCAGGAAACTCAAGGGGCCGCTATAAGAATAATGTCGCAGACAGTGCTCCCCAGCACTCCTGCACAGAGCAGAAGCCCCTGTAATCCTGCATTTGGGGGGCACATGCTTAAAGAGGTGCGCTGAGCGGATTTTTATTGTCACTGAGCTGCTCATTGGAAGCCTACCGGTGCTGGAGAATCCCTTTTGAGATTGACGTCTGACAGTGAAGGTAAAGAATGCTTCCTGACCTGCCTACAATCTTCTCTTGCACGGCAAATGCTTGTGAACTCTGGGAGATGCAATGAGACCAAGGCGTTCATTCTCGATTTCCGCAGGCTGGCAGACTTTGCCACCACCTATTTGTGGTCTGCAGCAGCTGACAGTGAGAGAGGCACGATTTGCAGAAATATCTGATATTAGGTTCTCAATGCCCATGTGATATAGCAACGGAACTGAGAATTCCGGCAACCGAAAACCCCATGGTCAGCTGATCAGTCCGACTGCCTCATCTAAGGCATTTCAGTAAGCTTGGCAAATGTGACGTCTTTCATTGCAACTTGCACCACAGGTCCAGCCTCTTATACGATACTGTAGCTAGTACCTAAACGCTTTCTGTCCGTCGTCAAAAGCATCAAAAGTGCCTTTTTTATTCAGCTGGATAGTAAGCTTGATGTTCCTGTCTGACCATCTGACAACGTTCTGATGTCATAATGCACGAGCTGTAGTACAGCTGTCGATATTGCGTTTAGCCGTGATCTCTGTCAGAAGGGATGTAATCCGCAGATTTGGTCTAACTGATTCTCAGCCTCAACTTTGCTGAAGCCTGGACTTGAGGTTGCACTACAATGTGATCAACGTGATCGAGCTGCCAGATCAGATATTTCTGAGCAACCTCTGACCTCATGTGCTTGATTGTCCATGTGGAGCCTGTTCGGCAGGCAATCATGGCTTCCTTATAAGCAGGGACTCATGGCGTGACGGTGAACGTTGTACCAAAGTACAGTACTCAAACTTCAATACCGGTATGTCAAGCCTGCCAATCTGCCAGACTAGATTTATAGCTAGCTAATAGTAGCTTTTGTACGGGTTTTGTACGTGACCGGCATTGACCTGCTCATCCATGCTCATCTTTGAGTGTGGACTTCCAAGCCTGCCAGCCTAATAGAAGACAGTTAACCTGTTCAGGCTTCTCAGTCGTCCGATGTGCGAATGGGCCATCATCGGCCGTCAGATGGAGAACCGTGGAGCACGACCGGACGACGCGCGATGACACCGGGGGTCCATGGGCCGGGCCCTTGTAAGTTTCTACCGGTCTGGGCGCGTGCCCGGCCCCTACTACGCCGACAACTGCGGTATGACCGAGCACTCTGCCTCGCGCTGTACCGTTGATGCAAAACGGACAAAGAAGCCAAACATTTTTGGGAATAGAATGCTCGTCGACGCAATGTGTATTAACAGGGCACTGCTCATAGAGCACAACCGAGTGACTTTGGTGGGGTTGGTGGGCGGGTTAGGGTGGGCTGGGGTGGGCTTTGGCGGAACGACTTAGGGTGTTGGTTAGGTTTATGTCACTGTATTTAGGTTTGTAGTGTTGGTCGGAGGCTCCCGGGCCAGAGACCGTGCAGTGGTGGGTACCTTAGCTTGCAACGGTACTTGAAATCAAGCTTGCGCGGTACCCACCTTTATTGGACGAGCGCCGACTTGCGTACAAGTCCGAAAAGAGTTTGGCTTCTTTGTACCCCTTGCACCGTTGATACAGCCAAACCGTAGCGTGCGGACGGAAGGCTCGTTCAGCTCACCAACGTTTTCACAACTGACGATCTAACGGCTTATATTCAGCAGCCAACCATAATCGAACAGTCATCCTGTCATCTGTTTTTCGCGCCACAAGCGGCAAAGCCTGTGTCACTGTCGGATGTGTGGGTATGCCGACCTACCTAGTTGACCTTCTTTCTGTTCAAGTTCAGAGTCTATCCTCATATTCGCGTTTAAATTTCTTACATCGAGGTATTGGAGGTCACTCTCGGAATTACTGAATACAAACTTGGTCAACAAGTGGCAGGCCCCGACGATTCACCAAGACTCGGGAAAGATTTCGACAGCGAAACAGTCTCTCTGTCCAAATCCGGGCGATACCTATATATCCCCTCAGGGCACGAAGAATCCGGTGAAGTCAGGTAAAGTCTTGTGGAATGTTCCCATCGCTGCATGCCATGCAGTGCATGATGCACGATTTGACGGCAGGCTTTCAAAGTTCAGGAGGGGAACGCTCTACAGCGAGGGCATACTAGGTACCTAATGCGCAGCTCTTCAGCCAGGAGGGGTGCGCGAAAAGGTGGCGCATTTTGTAGGGAGGCAGCTCCTCTTTGCGCTTGATTGAGCTCACAAGATGGGGCGGGGAAGCGGGTCCGGCGCCGGGAAGGGGCTCGCCCTCTCGGCCGCCCTGATGCAGAAGATTCTGCTGAGCTACCTGTATGTGTCGATCTGGATCGTGCTCAGCGCGGCGGTCATCCTGTACAACAAGTACATCCTGGACCGCAAGATGTACAATTTTCCATATCCCCTCACGCTGACCATGTTCCACATGGCCTTCTGCTCGTCCCTGGCTTTCCTTATCATTCGGGTTTTCAAATGGGTAGAACCGATTGGGTTGACGCGCGAGCAGTACATGGAGTCCGTCGTCCCAATCGGGGTGCTTTACGCGCTCAGCCTCTGGTTTTCCAACTCTGCCTACATTTATCTCTCAGTTTCCTTCATCCAGATGCTCAAAGCACTCATGCCGGTCGCTGTCTATTCCATCGGCGTGGTCTTCAAGAAGGAGGTCTTCAGCGTGGAGACCATGGCTAACATGCTGGGGATCTCAGTTGGAGTTGCAGTAGCCGCATACGGAGAGATCAGGTTCGACGTTTTTGGGGTGATCCTCCAGCTCGGGGCGGTGGCCACAGAAGCAACCCGGCTGATCCTTGTCCAGATCCTGCTAACCTCCAAGGGGTTGAAGCTTAACCCGATCACTTCCCTGTACTACATCTCCCCCGCCTGCCTAGCCTTCCTCACCATCCCCTGGGTCTTCATCGAGATGCCTCGGCTGCAGCAGATCGCCATGTGGCGGTTCGACCCGTTCGTATTCCTGTCCAACGCGTCCGTTGCTTTCGGGTTAAATCTCGCGGTCTTCCTTCTGATCGGCAAGACGAGCGCGCTGACCATGAACGTGGCGGGGGTGGTCAAGGACTGGTTACTGATTGCCATTTCCTGGTTCCAATTCAAGGACCCTGTGACAAGCACCAATCTGTTTGGGTACAGCCTCGCGTTCCTGGGGGTCTGTGTGTACAACCACGCAAAGCTAAAGAAGGCCGTGCAGAAGGAGGCCTCCAGGAAGCCTGAGGGGGACGTGGAGAGGGCGGAGGCTGAGGAGAGGGTTCCGCTGAAAGACATGGGAGAGGACAAGCCGCTAGACTCCCGTGGTGGGGGCCAGAGTTGACCGGTTAGGGTTACAGTTGCAGGACGGTTAGAGGTGGAGAAAGCGCAGCTTTCGCTGGCAGAGGGGGGAATGGAGAGATGCGTGGAGGGTGGCAGGTCTGGTGAGGTGGCGAGCACAGATCGGCTGCAGAAAGGGGACCGCTCCCGGTGGGCAAAGGAAACGACTAGCTCCTCAGAGTGCACAGCAGGTAGGCGCAACTAGCGCGGAGAGTTTTTGGAACGAGGGAGGTGTCCGAAAGCGGCAGTCCGCAGAGATGTGTCTGGTGCCAGCTTGCTGCAGCAGCAGGTTAGGGTTGCGCTCCAGGGCTCACAGTGTAAAGAAAGTAGACTCTTTTTCTTGGCCAGTCAGGCAGCAATATGGACAACCCGCAAGGGTCGTAGCTGCGTACATTTCCAATGTGACATTTCCAAGCGCATGGTATCCAACCAATCGCCCATTAGATTATTGTCCAGATTAATCCTGTTCCATCGGTGACACGTCTTTTTTCCAGATTTGTGCAATGGTTGCCTTTTCCAGCTTTCTTTCCGCTGCTCGTTGCTTTCTTCATTGCGGTTTGCTTTTGTTCAGCAGAAGGTGCTGCAATTGGTCCTCCAAATCTGAACTGATTGTCAAACTGCCTCTTTGTACGGTTTCCGGAAAGATCCAACGACAGCCCCTTGAACAGTGAATGGATGTTTCCCGTGTACACTTCTGCAATGTACCATTTTGTCTTTCTTCATGCAGCTCTGAGACCATTTAGCAGAGCCTGTGTTTGCATATGTCCCCTGAGCATGCGCTTACTTCCTGATAGCAGCGACTTCCTTCTTGGAATGGAATGCTTTTTTGTTTACCAGATTGTCGATGCTCTTGAGCTCTCGCACATTGCCTGTTTGCTGCAAACCTACCGTCAAAACTCAAACGCAGGCCTACCAGATCAGCATTTGTGCTCAGTATTCAAAGGCAATGATGGTCAAAATGCTTGTTCTCTTGACCATGAGGTTGGACGGGCCTGGAAGCTTGTTCTGTACACTTTTGGACTAACACATCCAAATTGCTGTCGTCGTCTCAAGCAAACGGCTTTGCAAGTCTGACTTGACAATGATACAGTAGAGGCTGACGAAATGGGCCACTCAGTAGGAGAATTTTTCGATGCCCCAATCTATTCGTCAATACAGTCGCTAAAATTGTGTGATAACAATCTTCTCAGAAAAAGAAAGCTTTGATCGGTGTTCCATTGAAGACCAGATGTCAATTGTAGCACTTACACATTCAAGACTTTGGATTGGGGACTGATCGGGGACTGATAGCATTGCTGTTTGCAACATGATTATCTGTTTGGATGGCATTCTGCTCATGGATCAAGTGAGGTGGTGGTATTCTGGCATGGAAACTGCTCGACTTGGCTTTGGACCAAATGCCAAGACTACTACGGCGTTTTCCCCTCCCTCTTGACTGATAGGCTTGGACAGGCTGGAAACATGGTGCACGAGCAACTAATGTTGAGCTACAAGTAGTTCAGAGCTTATAGTTGCACCTAGAATGCCGATCTTTCTTTGATCATGTAACTTGAATTGAAGCTGGGGATCAATGCCAGCAAATTTTTGGGGAGCAACCACCTTGAGTCATGCCAGGTTTCAGGCTGGTGCTCATGCTTAAATTGCAAACCTTCAGTGTCAGAATCCCCAAATCTCATGTCGCCTCCTCCAAAAAGTGATGCAATTATTTCTGGCTGACGAAACATGCTAGCACGTTTGCACCATGATGGTCTGAGCAACATTTTGGTCACGTAGCGTGGCCTATCACATGAGCCTAGGTATTTGAGTTTGCTGCAGTACATGCATGCTAATGCCTCACACGCAAGATACTATGCATGCGTACAGTTGGAATGTACCAATCACGTCGAAGCGCGACTGCATGCCGCATACCTATGTGTAACCGTCCCTTTGGGCCATTGCAAGGGGTATCGCAGTTCCTTGTCTGTTTTAGCTAGTACCAAAGTCAAAAAGGCTGACGACCAATGTTGAGTGCAGTACACGTCCTCAGTTACTCTGAGAGAACATGGTATATCTGGTCGCAAGAAGATTGCAGGAGCTTCGGCTGACAAAAAGCTGTCACACATGCCTTTCATGTTGAAGGTTTTGCAGCATGAGAAGGTCGATCTGTGATGCAATCATTATTTCGAATGTATTCAGACGACACCATGCATGCTTCACAATCAAAGGATGTATATATGCTGGACATAGTCTTGATTCCTTCAACAGTGTACCTAAGTTGGCCATGCCTCATTCAAGCTTTTAAGGATGTGAAATTCACACTAATCGCGCTATGAAGGCAACCGAGCTTGTGAGCAGCGTCCCCTCGACAAGGACCACAATGACGTCAGCTACAGATGCCAGATTCGAGATCGATTTTGAAGAAGGCATGATCATCAACGCAAAGTCCACAAGCCGACTGGCGTTTGTACCATGTCATTTCAAGCGCCTAGCTTTTGACGTTTCTGTGATGATCATCGCAAACATAGGGGATTATAATCTTACAATGCATGCCAAATGCTGGCGGAATCCTGCCGCCTGTTGTATGATTGCCACAAAATCATTGTCGCAAATACGTGCAGTTCGGCTCACTTTTGTGAATAGTCCCGTGCTCCAAAAATCGACGACCCAACTCGTACGTTTGTACTCCCCATCTCGGTCTGCAGATTTAAGCTGACAGCCGTCAGTTCTGAAACGAAAGATTTGTCGGACACATTCGATCAAGAACTAGTGACCCAATTTTGTCCTTATTGTTGGAACCACCACCTTCACAAACGAAGTCGAAGCTGCTGAGACCGCCCCTTCAAACGCGGGCGTTTCCAAAGAAGTTGGCAGATGTACATAAACGGCGAGAAAATCTCATGACTCTTCTTAAAAATCCTCAGGCAGATGCAAAGGACCAGGACTCAAGGAAACTCTCTCGCCCAAGCGCCGGACCATAAGGTCGATCTGGCCGAGAGTGAAAAGAAAAAAGACAAGCAGATCTCTTTCCAAATGGGAGTCCTTCTGCCTTCTTCTGTTGTGCATGAGATGGGCCCAACGAAGAAAGCCCTCGGAAGAGTGGAACCGAGCTTTGTCGTCTGTGTCGTAGGGCCAGGGAACGACTCACCGCAGCTTCGAAGTCCTGCGACATGCCCATACTCAACTCGAGGTCGTCCTCCGGCAAGTCGAGCTCTCGACAGACCCGCTGTCGACAGTCTAGTAGCATCTGCACGCAGAAGAAGACGACACAACGTTACGAGATCTATTCGCCAGTCTAATCTTGGTCTGCGGACGAGCTGACTCTTTCCTTCGTTACTGTCATCGAGTCACGAGCACTCCTACTAGTTCGACTCTTCCGGCATTGGTGGCCGTTGACATAAGCTCGGCCAGATCTTTGTTAACGTGCTTTCCGTATTGTCTGCATCTTCATCACCCTTTCCGCCGGACGGTTGGCCGTGCTTGAGGGCTGGCTGCCGTCTGTCTGAAAAGAGTGGCATAACGACTTTCACCGGCCCAGTCTCTCTGAGTGACCAGGATTTCGAAAGGACTTTCGGGATAATGACAGAAGGTGTTTGTTGTCCGGATAATGACAGAAGGTGTTCGTTGACATTATGAGCCAATTGCTTTACGAAGCAAGAGGCCGGGGACACGCAGACGCCTTCCCGACTAGCCGATAGATTCATCCCTAAACGCCGTGGTCAAATAAGAGTACGATTTCCAACGACTGCCTACGCACAACGTCTGCCTTTGATGCTGGTGCTATACATACGAGACTTATATTGCTTCGCTTTATACTTTCAAGTCTCCTCGTAGAGTGACTCTGTAAGCCATGGTCATGACCCGTTGCAAACGGCTACCATTCCAAGTCATTCCAAGTCAAACTAGAAATTCAAGCTTCAGTTGACCGATTTAGTCGCCACAAGCGCAAACTTCAGCCGGTATGACCGCGTGCCTAGATGAGCGACCACGTGGTGAGGTCATTTAGAGGAGTCTCGGGACTTTGCCAACTGCCGGAGAATGCCCCAGACGAGAATGGACCCACACTGCTTTTGCTTCCTACAAAGCCCTAGGTCAAAGGATGCGGGTATCGAACGGGCGTTGCCAACGAGCGTACCTGGAAGTTTTCCGGTTTCGACGTGTAGTCCAGCATCCCGATCGTCATCAGGCCCGCTAACCGCAGGTTTGGACACTGGTTATGCACGTGCTTCGCGAGATCCACGCACTCGTTAGGCTCGACGCCGTACTTGGCTGCACACCAGAAGGAGAAGAAAGAAAGTGGTTAGGCGTTGATCATAGGAAGATGCGTTGGTCGCGTTGGTCCCGTTGGTCAAGATAGAGTTCCACCTCTTATCCGATAAGCTGAACGGAAAGGAACCTGGTGAGGTCTTCGCATGTGCTTCAGCTCCACTTGACAGCGACCCAAGGAGGGCTCGCTGATTGAAAGGGGTTATGCATTAAGAAAAATTTCTGCCGTCAGACTATCATTAGGGCTCAGTGTCAGTTGCTAAGCACTAGAAAGACGGTCCACACACTTCCTGGGCTCTGCCCTGTGCTTCTCTGAACAATCGTCAAAAGGTGATACGTCTTTCGTATCAAGCTTGGCTTTGGGTCTCCCTAGGATGCTTGCGCGCCTATAGGCCATGTACATAATACGCCTGATCGTGGAAGAGCAGATTGCGGTTTCAAGGATCAAGTCCGTTCGATTCGGTAACCCAACATGGTTCAGGAGCTAGGCAACAGCTGGGTAAGCTTTTATCTCAACAGTGATCTGACTACGACGTTTTCAATGACCCAACCTAAAGACTTGCTAGCAGCCACAATCTGAAGGCAGGGACGCGCAACTGAAACAATCACCCACGACGACTTGAAGAGGCTAAGTGGCCCTATCGAGCCGACGTCCCCGAAACCTCTTCAGGTCCATTAAGCTTTCAGGTGGCATCCAAGGCCGATCCGTCGTCATATTGAATTCAAACCGCAATAATAAGAAGACTCTGCTGCGATTGTGCTCGCCTTCAGAACGAAGGATTGAACGCACCGTCAACTCTGCGGAGTGACTGCCTGAACTACCTAGCAACGAGGTTCCTCGGGAGGCCACAATATTACGATTTTCACCCGACGCACTTTCTGTTCCTATACCTCGAGGTCGTTACGAGCAGCCCACTCCTGCCACACCGCATCGTACAGCTCTAGACACTCAGCAACTTCACACCAGCGGCAATCGCAGACAAACTAAACACAACAGCGTGCGCCACTCACTCTCCTCCCCGCTCGTGTTCACTTGCACCATGACCTTGAGCTTCTCGTCCCGCTGCGCGCCCTCGCAGGCCCTGTTCAGGTGGTTCGCGATCTTCTCGCTATCTACCGTTTCGACTGAGTACAGGTTCGGCACCGCTTGCACCAGGGCCTTTGCCTTGTTGCTCTGCAGATGACCGATGAAGTGCCAGTGCACGTCGCGCGGCATCTCGGGCGCTTTTTCTAGCAGCTCCTGGACGTAGTTCTCGCCGAAGTGGCGCTGGCCGGCGTTGTAAGCCTCCATGAGCATGGAGACGGGCTTGGTCTTGCTGACGGCAACTAGGCGCGGCTGCGGGAAGAAAGCTTTCAACGTTAGGGTATCAACGTTTTTCCGAGTCTCCCGGCTTTAAGAGTATGGATCAGACTTGAAGGGTCACAGTAGGGGCGGCGGCAGAAAAGAAACACAATTATGCAGGTCAAGATGAGTGAGAGAGGCATGAGGTGGGGTTTTAACCTGTGAGGGGAACGGGGCTTTCACTTGGCTCCGCAAACCGCAATAAAACAAGGAGACATGCTCTTAACGAGCACTCGATCATCTTCAGCCCTGAAAGCATGAAAACAATCAGGAAACTGATTGCGTTTCCAACGTTGAAACTCGAATGGCTTGTTTGTGACTTGCGATTCTCTTAGAGAGCTGTTCATAATTATGCTCCCAAAGTGGGGCGCTGATTGCAGATATGAGGGGCACGATGAAAGCAGTCGACCAATCCGCCAGCGCCCATGACCGTGACGAACGAAAGAAGGTAGGAAAAGAAGCGCCGTTGAAAAAATGATGAGGCTGATGTTTGGGCATGAATGAACCCCCAGCCTCTGAGCTACTTCAGGCCACTCTTGGAACAACATGTATTGCAAGTAGGAAACCCATCAAAAAGATACACCGGTTGATGCTGCAATGAGTATGATATCTTCTGCAATCAGTAGCATATCTTCAAGTAGGGGCTCTCAGGGGCGTCATTCGCAGAGCAGCCACGCGAACACAACTTTTTGACAGGCCTGGCTGTGAATGTGTAATACAGCACTGAATATTTCCCCATATAAACTGCTCTATTTGTGTATACGTTCAATCAAAGCACAGTTGTATTGGGAAAGCGTTGATGCCACCACCACAGCATAACCTTCGGACCAAGGAAGGACATCTTTCTGGACTAGGGAACTTCACTTTTCCACTAATGCTGTGCCCTTTGTCTCCGCATGTTTCCACGCATGCTCACTACTTTAGCCAGATCATTGGGCAGGCTGAAAGCTTTCATTCCTCGAGCAACTTTTTTTCAAGAAGCCCTCACAGCATTGCAGACTTTCGCAAACAAAAGTAGTGGAGCGAAAACATCATACGCATGCTAAAGTGACTATTGGAAGGACCTCGATGAATGCACTGGCCGGGCGAAAATCGCAGAAGCAGTGGCTCACCGGCTGCGATCTCCCCGCTTTCTCTGCTGCCTTTTGCACTTTGGCCAGCACATCTCTCAGTGCCTTCCCCACTGCAGTCTGCGCAACAGAGGATGCCATCTCCTTGTCGTCGCTCATTCAACGACGCCTTCAGTCTTCAGAGAATTTCGTTCGCGGACAACGAGAGCAACTCCTCCTGCTCGCCAACTGCCTATTCCAGATCTTGATGCCAAACTCTGGTCGATCACAGTCTGGTGTTCAGTGCTTGCACTTCTGCAGGCCTTTGTCATGTTTGATATGATGCTGATACGCATATAATTCTTCACAGATTCAGCCCATACGAAACAATTTTCTGAACCGTCCACAAGTCGATAAAGCAAATCCGAGCAGCTCAGGGATAAACAAAGCCGTATATTCAGGCAGTCTACCGAAGCATAAGCGACTTGAAAGCAATGCGTTGCAGCCATCATGCTTGCTGCCAATGGAATTTGCATGAGCAAGAACGAGCTAGGACCTAGGTAGGTGTTGGAATCAGTGGAAGAGCCCCTTCAGGACCTTGGCCGCTCTGGACCACAATATACACTTCAGGACAAGCTTTTCTGGCCTTAGGCTTCAGCTCTTTAACTTTTAAGAGGACGTGCACTGGTCGTATCAAGCTTTTCTCCAGCTTCCACTTTAAGTATCTGGTCCAGTGTCTGTTCCGCCACCATGCCGCAGCGGCACTCCAGGAACAACAATGACCTCGCCATCTTTACATACGAGGAGAGGAGGGCGCTAGGATATGGCACGCAAAAAGAGAGGCTTGGGAAGGACTCTGTGAAACCCTTTGATGCCTGCTCTTTGTGCCTCAAGACCGTGATTGACCCCATGTGCTGTCAGAAAGGCCACCTGTTCTGCAAAGAGTGCATCTTTGAGTGCCTGCTGGCGCAGAAGAAGGACATTGCAAGGTGAGAGAGCGCACTTTTTGCTTATTCTTTCCTTGTGGCACTTGAATATGATTGTCAAGAAGAATCGAAGAAAGAAACAAACAGGGGGTCTCTTGAACGAGCTGGTAGGACGGTGATGTTAGTTCATTGGCGCTTTCATTCAGGAGCGAACTCAAGCAGCCCCTCCTTTAGGAACTGAAACCCAGCGGGGTGCTTTGGAGTCTGCATCAAATATGTTAAGACGGGTTGAGAATGAGAGTCTGAGCTCACTTCCAGCCAGCCAAGGTTGTGATCCAAATCAATGAGTTGACGGGACGGTTGGGTCTGAATAAAGATGTTGCATATGAAGACTCAGTCAGGTCTCTAGATGTCTAGTAGGCTTGTGGTTGTATTCCAGTTCATTTTCTATTCACCTTGCCGTCGCAATCAACGAAGGCCGAGCCTTACATCTTGTTTCTCCCATAAGTGTGGCTAGCAATATATGCCCTCCTTGCTACCTTGTCGCCTTCCCTGCAATGGAAGGGTAAACTGCAGACCCCAGCACCATATTTGCGTAGTAGATTGCAGTAGTGGTTGCGTGCCCTCAGCCTTGCAGGAATGCTTTGATATGTCTCCTTCCAGATAGCTTGCTAAGGACTTTGCGACCGCGCATCATGGACACTTCTATAGACTGAAGTATGTGCTGAGACCTGGTTTGGCGGGTGTGCAAACTACGCTGCAATAGATGCAATACTTTTTGAGGTTATGAGAAATCACAATTAAAGCAGATACTGGATGATGCAAGAGAAGCAGGTGGGGAATCAGAAACCAAGCTCTGAAAGCTGTCGTTGTCGATATCTGAAGAGGTAATTCTGAATTGTAAAATGGGCAGGTCTTTTCCGATGTGGACCAGTTTGGATCACCCGGGGGTTGAGGGTGACGGGGTACTTTCTGAGCAGTACAGACGTGTGTTCTTTCACAAATGCATCAGCCGTTTGTGTTGCAAGCAGCCATGGCCCTCCGAGTTGCCAGGGCAATCCCTGTGCATCCTAACAACAGGACGGAAGCCTTTCAAAATTGTCAAGAGATTCTCTGGATAATATCTCTTTTAAGATGTCTGCGACAGAGGAGACCACAGGAGACAGAGTCAGAATGACCATCTTCATGGCCGCCAGCATAAAAGGGTACGAAATGACCACCGCTGCCCCATTTTTATTCGGTCGCCGCGTGTGCTCAATCAGCAGCTTATGCCAGAAGCTGCTTTAAGGGGCTATTTTCGAAATGGAAGAAAGAAGGTAACGACGTTTAAAAGCGACATTTTCACGATGGTAACATTCTATGCAGGCAAAAGGCCCTGTACGAGGCGCAGTTGCGAGAGGACCAAGAAGAGCAAAGGCAAAAGGAGTTGCGCGAACGGGAGGCGCAGCTGGCGGCGTTTGACCGGCAGAACAACGGGGCCCTTCCAACGGCCGGCGAGCGGCGGGCAGAGGGGGAACAAAGCGCAGGCTTTCATGGAGCTTCGAGCAAGAAGGTGAGTTGGCTTATCCTTGTGGTGTTAATGTGACGGGTTAAGCGCAGACGATTTATGAGTTCGAGAAAGGAACGAGAGTAGTCAGGCTTGTCTGATAGTTCGAGCAGGCGGTGCCACGTGCGTTGGCCCCAGATGAGAGGGCCGTTTGCCGAGGCTGGTTCTGGAGCCAGTGCAAGTATGGCAGGTTGCTGCTGTAGAGGTTCGGCCGAAGTCAAGGTCACCAGTCCGTTTGTTGCAATTAGGGTCCTGAATACTTACCTCCGAGACCCACTCGAATGACTGGTCAAGCATCAATCGTCGGGGCTGACTCTTTGCTGAGGACGGTGAAAGGTTCCTTCAATCGTGATGGAGAGGGATCTGGACCTCTCGGCTTGTCGAGAGGGGTCCTGTGCAGCAAGACGTGCACAGTATACTGAGACGCCAAGCGAGATTGTTCCATCTGGCGCTCGCTCAAGCACCTGTAGGATTTGTACCCAGCATCTGTCAGGCAACAGACAAGCTGTCTATTTGCACCTTGATAGGGTGGCGGTACGATTGAAAAGTAACCCATGCCAAGTCGCATGCGCTCACTTGCTCGACGAAGTGCGTCAGGATCTGCACGTCATCTCCGCAACGTGAAGCAATGGTAGCCGAATCAGGGCGGCCTATCAAGTGGTGTGCAGCGCGATCCGTACAGTGTCAACTGAACAAGCTCTTGCCTTTGCAGGTGACGGACTTCGAAGCTGAGGCCGTCCGCAACATGAAGGCGTTCTGGTTGCCGCAATTGGCCCCCCAGGCCGAAATTAGGGTAGAGGCGCCGCAACTAGAAACCAAGTGTCCTGTAGCCTCGGAGAAACTACGCCTCAAAGACCTTTTCGCCATCAACTTCACACCCGACAAGCACGTCGATGAAGGGCCGGGGGCCAAAGACCGCTTCATTTGCCCGTCCTGTTCATCCACGTTCACTAACACCTCTAGTTTGGTAGCGGTCTCGACGTGCGGGCATGTGCTGTGCTCGAAGTGCGCGGCGAAGTTCGTCGAAAAAGAGAAGGCGTGCTGTGTGTGCGCTAAGCCGTGCAAGTCGAGGCAACTGGTAGCGGTAGAAAAGGGAGGGACGGGGTTCGCCGGGCATGGGGATGGCTTGGTAGCGACGGCAGTGAAGGCGCTGGGGGTAGGAAGCGGACTTTCAGATGTTCGGCCAGCAACTCGTGTAACATGAGTTTCTGTGTTTCCGATTGAGGATTCATTCCTCGCCCTAGCTTGTCCTTGATACTCCGGTCTCAATGGAATTCGGTGGAAATCTGGGTCTCTTGCATGGAACGAGATCAGACGTGTTTTCCCGTTCTCAAGTATGGCAGCATGTTCCTAAACCGATATGCAATGATTATCACTCCGAGCTTGGTTGAAATTCACATCTGAGCACCGGCAGTTGTCTTCCTAATGAACGTACTTGCATGCCCTGATAAATCGTCCAGATCAGTCAAGCCGCGCCGCCTAGATCGATTTGACTGTGCGCCCTGTGCACGTCAGCCCAAGTTCTTACGGGTGCGCAAACTTCAAGCAAGTATATACAATATGTATGGTAGGCTCTCACGTTGCGCGCGGGTGGCAAGGTCGGGAGCAATTACAGCAGCCAAACTGGAAGCTTGAAGCCTGCTATAGACTCACTGATGTTGCGCGTCGTGGACATGTGCATGCTTTGACCAGCTTTGATCAATCGCGGCCTGAACATGCGTCATGAATGCATACGTTGATTGCCACTGATGGGTCAGCAGCCGCAGAATTTCAGGACTTGCGGAGGCAGATACTAACCCCGTGACCTAGCTGCTCCAAAGTCACTTGATTGAACATGATTATTGATTGCAACCGTCGTCGATATCCTACCGTCTTCCGACCATGGAGCAGCCCGGCCACCAACTTTGATGGTGCGCAGCGCAAAGACCTCATTGGATCATCCGAAAGAAACCATCATTCATCGCGCTGGTGATTGCTATGGTTGAACGCGCATCTCAATACCATATGTGCGGCAATCAACGATTGCCACATAGCTACGAATGGCAATCGGTTGCTGCAACACTGTTTTGACTGCTGACCGTGAGTCACCTTGACTAAGGCTGCAACAATGTTGTGACTGCTGACCGTGAGTCACCTTGACTAAGGGCATGTTGACAGAAGGATTGTGCTCGGTTTAGAAAGGAGACCAAAAGCTAACCTAGAAGTGACATGCTCCGTACTTGTACCCACCCTTAATCCCAAAATAACCCCACACGTCTCCCAGGCACATACGTTGGTCAACATGGCTTCTAGTCAACATGGATTCGAGAGTCAACGCTGTTATTGTTGACAGAACCCGTGGAAGGAGAACGCGGACTACAGTTTTCAGTTCTGGACCCCCACAAGAGCTGTTACCCTGTGCGCGAGCTTCGAAAGACTTGGTGTAGCTTGAGGTTGGTTGAGCGGTAACGTAGCCTTGACTAGTCTGCTCTTTGACCGACCGATCGTAACCCCACCGGGGGCTAGAATACCTACCTGGCATGCAAATACGGTACAAGACTGTGACCGGGCCGGCCAAAGCCAAGCGACCGGGTGACCAGAAAAGTAACCGTTCTTTGAGCCACGTACGCGCGCATAGGATACCAGTCGGTGTGACGTTCTCCTTCCATGGGTTCTGATCAACAATGTAACCTGAGACATCTGGCTGCACAGAATTCTGCTGACATCAGGATCGATCTGTCAAGGTATCAGAGCGCCGAATGCTGTGGCCGAGGCTAAAGCTGTAGCCGCTGCCGGGCGTGGTTCGACACCGAGTGTCCTCCAACGGTGACAACGGTCCTCCAACGGTCCTCCAACGGTGACTCTTACCCTCCATTCAGAAGTTCGACTTCGATCTGCAATCACTCGCCCAGCCTTAGAAGCATAGAGACTGCGATTTCGTCGAACGCAGTTCGACTTTCAACACGAAGAGCCCTGCAAGAGACAGCCTGATTGGCGCAAGACTAATAAATACATCTGATTCAAGTTCCAAAACCTGCGGATTGCAGACCAAACAAAGCAAGCAAGTCCAGGAAAAGGCGCTCTCCAACCAGCTCAGACGTTTCTGTATCATCAACCATGGCAGCGCCGCCAAGAACTCTCACCGGTGAGTCCTTTGAATGATTGTTGCCCTTGAGCGTCAAGTCCGTAAAGGCTTCAGGATGTTTCCCAGATTGCTCACTGATTGAACAACTTGCTTGGGAAATGCTGTCACGAAGGAGGGATATTGAACAATGCTCCTAGGCGTCTCCAGCAGGTGGGGTTTTTTCAATATGCTGCGGAAATTTGATTTCAGGCAGCCTTTGAGCTCGTCTCCGGGTCGCGCTTGCTCCTTTTGGCACAGTCCAAGTGAAATTGGGAAAGAGTCTTGTTCAGTTCAGCGCAGTGTTTTGAACCCTTCTCCTTGTCATGGACCATGATGCACGCTGGTTTCACCATCAGAATGAGCACTTGAACTGTTAGCGCAGATCAGGAGCTCGATGACATCCTTTTCTGCTGTCTGGTTTTGAAGACTTTTCTACTACTATATGAGATTCGAGGAAGGTTGGCTTTGTCCACAAAAAATTGGGAGTTCGAAATTGAACAGCTTCCGAGATCCCACTAGTCAACAAGGAGCGATTCAAGGAGCAGCAGGAAGAGCTTTCTTCTGTGATCACCGTCAAGAAGTTGGTCTGCTCTGCTGGGGATCGCCGCTGTTCGGCAGTTTGCCAGCATCTTTTCGCAGACTATTCTCTGGTTCAGCATTTGCGCTAAACTCTCAAGTACCATGCCACGGCTTCTGCCAAATGATTTCTTTACAACCTAAAAGCTAGGTTCCCATCCCATGGCACATTTTTCGGCAAGCTTTTGTTCAAGCGTGACTTCCGGATTCTGTTTCGAAAGCAAGGACGCCCTCTCCGTGTCCGCTTCCTCAAAATGCATTCTTCTTTTTTTCGTACACTTCGTGAAGTCGTGCAGAGTCAGAAAGAACCTGTTTTCTCGAAGGTTTTTCAGAGCACGTCATAGTTCAAGAGGTTTGTTGTGCGTTTGTTCAATCGTCTTCACTTATGCTTTCCAAGAGGCATCATGTAACATTCATAACGTTACTTTGTTCATCGTTCTTCATCAGCAGGCTTGCTTGTGGCTACGCATGAGGATCAATTATACTCAAATTTTGCGATCCCTGTTCCAACTTTTCCTTGTCCAGCTTTCAATGGCTGAGCTTCCAAGATTGCTTATCCACTGCCTTACTAACTTCATTTCTATGGATACCAAGTGGCCTTTCTGACCATCTCTTATGAACATTTTCCGCAGCCCTTATGCACCCGGAATGGAAGGAGTGTGCGGAATGCCTCTCACCAGAGGGCCGCTGGAGCACCCACGTGTCCACCGACAAGCCGATCTACCGCCAGGGTGACACCTTCCACATCCGCGCAGTCGTGCTGCACCCCATCACGGGGGAGCCGGTGTCAGACGAGAATCCGCAGAACCGCGCCTACGACATGAACGGCACCATACAGGTAAGATCTTGGGCCGTATGTTTCAGATGTTGCAGCTTGCCAAACGGATGGAACCTTTGAACGTCAAAGCGGGTATAGCTGGAATCCTCTCAGGGATCATGCATTTAATGTAAGAAGGAAACAGCAAGCTCTTTCGTTCGCTTCACGATTTTCGGCGTGTCTTTTCACGCTCGCATCAAGAGGACGAGTTAAGAAGCTATTGTGACTCTAACAAGTGCTAGCTTCTTTCTCAAAAAGCATCCATGTTGTTTATAGCTCGAAATATCTTTGCACAGATAGAACGAAGAAAGGACCGTGCTGGGATATCGAATAACGGCGTTCAAAAGACCAGCGCAACTCTCTCTTGCGCAGGTCATATCGCCAAAGGAAAGCGTGGAGGCGACTATGTACATTGACGGCCCCATGGAAAGCGTGATGTATAATAAATGGAGTGTCCCCGAAGGTCTGTCGGGGGGTGAATACACTCTTCGATACACGCCGCGCGGCTACAGCGGTATGGGTCGGAACAGCCCCCCAGCAGAGCGCAGATTTCAGATCCGCGCTTTCCGGAGCCCCAAGCTGAACGTGAGGGTGGAATTTCTGGGAAGGGGGTACGGCCCCGGGGATGAGGTCAGGGCGAAGGTGAGAAAGCAGGAGTCAGAATCATCGACAGGGTTCCAGGGGTTGAGGACTGTAGAAAAGTCGGATTGTATTAAAATTCTGGAAACCTCTATTGGGTCTCTGCAAGATATAAAACTTCACAGATATACAATGGAGCTCGTTCTGTGACGCCTGACAGTCCGGCAAAAAGGGCCCGGGGGCGCACGAACGAGCATAGAAGCCTTTAGAAGGTCTAGAATAACGCAGTATATACCTTCGTTCCTCGTTCTTTTTGAATGATATCGTTCACATGTGGAAGGGTGACAAGTCAGCAAGGCTGCAGTTCACGTGGTATCGTTCCGCGGCGGCCTCGGAAACAGACAATCTCGTACAAACAGACATTGGTCTGGCCCGTACCGTTATGATCAGCTTCTCATTCTCAAACTACAAAGGAACGCTTTGCCAAAGCGGTATGACCATCCATTGAATCTAAAATGTGCTTCTCCGTTCATTCAGCCACATTTCCACCAATCCTGTCCGTCCAGGTCTCAGTAACCCGCGCCGAAGGCGGCGCGCCCCCGGCCGCGACTCCCGTGACGCTCTCCGCGCGCGTCGACGGTGCCCCGGTTCACACTTCCCCGGCGGCCCTCGACGATTCGGGGGTATGCTACGTCACCTTTTCGCTCCCCCCCGAAATGAAAGAGGGCCTGGGCGCGCTGAACGCGCTCGTATCCGACGGGGGAACCGTCGAGAGCGGCAGCAAAACGATCCCGATCGTGCTGCAGACTGTGAACTTGGAGTTCTTCCCCGAAGGCGGGGTGCTGGTTCCAGGTGGGAATCTCAATTCCAATGTTTGGAAAACTGTTTTGCAATCTGATTAGTAGCATCTGATAGCTCGTCTACAGAGACAACGATTCATGTTCAAAGCGACGTGGATTTCTTTCAAACGAAGTGGTAAAAAATGCGCTCTTAAGATGTCTAGTTGTTCGAGAGATGCTTGCGCGAAATTCGCGAGATGCAGCCTTGACGCGAAGTTCCAAACACGAAGTAGCAGGATCTGGACGAATAGGTACTACGATTGAAAATAACGATATCATTAAGCCGCTACCTTTCTATTCAGGATCTGATAACATCAATCATACCGGCACAGGTCTCGAGAACCGGGTCTACTTCGAAGCGCGCGACCCAACAGAGGAGCCCGTCGACATCGCTGGAGAGGTGTGGGCGGTCGGTGGGAATGCGCCCCTTGCCACCTTTGCCGCAGTCCACGAAGGCTGTGGAAATTTCGTATTCACACCGATCGCCGGTCAGGCGTACGAGGCCCGCATTACCAAACCGGGCAACATCAAGAAACCGGTGCCGTTGCCAGCGGTAGAGGAAGCGATCGCGGACGGGCTGCCACGTGTCGTTCTGCGAGTGGACGGTTTAGCCGATGCGGAGATGGCCGAGGTGGAGAAACCTCCAAACCCCGAGGAGTTTGCGGTCGACGTCACCGTCGCGAGCGCGGCCGCGGCGCTCTTTCGGGTCGTTCTGTACAAGCGCGAGGTCGCCCTCGACAGCAAGGACGCGGTGATCCTCTCCCCGGGGGGGTCCAAGAAGCTGTCGCTGCACCCCCCAGGACCGGAATACGCGGGCGTCCTGCGGGTGACCGTCTTCGCAGAGGACGGCGACGATTGGACGCCCGTCGCGGAGCGGCTCCTTTACCGCGTGCCAGAGAAAAATCTCCACGTGGCAGTCTCTGGTGGCTCCAGCGCGAGCGGCGGGGGGGACTGCGTCCCTGGGGAAAAGGCCCGGGTGGAGGTGGCGGTAACGGATGCGGCAACGGGGGAGCCGGTTACCGGGGCCGTGGTGGGGTTAAGCGTGGTGGACAACAGTAACCTGGAGCAGGTGGAGCCGCGCAGGCGGCCGCCGCGCCTGCCCGCGATGGCGCTGCTCGAGGACGAGGTGCGGCGCCCAAACCCTTCAACCCCTTAACCCCTTGAAAATAAAACTCTTAACCCTTAACCCTTAAATACTCTTACACTCTTGAACCGGTTAAACCTTTAACCCTGAATCCTTACACCTGTAAGCATTCAAACCGTTGGACCTTCGAATTTTACAGGCGGCGTGGCCGAAAGCATCCGCACCGGCAACCATCTCAACGGTAGAAACAAAAACTTTGATGACCCGTTCAACTTTGATGATCCGTCCGGTCGCAAAGGCTTGGAAGCTGAAGCGCTTCAATTCTGTCAGCCGCGAAGCCTAAACTTCGACAGTTTTCGTTGTTCGGGCTCTTGTTTCAAAACCGCTTGTGGCACAATGGGGAAAGCGCACGAGACGGGCACGAGAACCGTTTAAGCCGCTCTAGTTGCTGGAGAGAATTCGACCCGGGCCATGACAAAATCTCGCGGTGTTGAGAACGAAGTCAGCGTTCCACTTTCGGCCACGAAGGTCTTTGGCCTGGAATCCAGAGTCGTCCGTATCTATTTCTTCAGCGGTTATCACATCGTTCGAGAAGATACATGTTTGGTGCCAAAGAAACGGTTCGGCCTGGTTAAGATCTAGTGGACCTACTTCTAGCTTGGATCAACCTTCGCAGAAGTGGCTAGCGATCGATCGGCTCTGCTCCTTGTGACAGGTGGCGCACCTGGATGACTCCGGCGCGTACATCGACGGCTCGGATCTTCCCGGCGGCTCAGACCCGTCCCTGGCCGTCGATCTTCTGCTGGGCACCCAAGGCTGGCGCCGCTTCCTGTACCGTGACCCCCTGGAAAAGCTGCTCGAAAACGGTATCGAAGACCAAGGCCAAAAGGTACGGACCTTATCAAGAGTCTGGTGACGTCATGTCAAAGTCCCGGGAGCGATCTGCCTTGTCTTTCCTGCGGCCTGTTGGGATCGAAGCTAAGAGATCAAAGGCATAGACTTGTCAAAAGCGTCGCAAGAGGATGAGATGCAGAAATGATTTGGCCATTTGGGTTTCGCCACCCAGCCTCTGCCGCTTGGCATCGTTCTCGAAGCGAAAAATGTAAACCGTTGCCTCTTCTGCTAATCCAACGCGGCACGAACCGATTGTGGTTGATCAGTTTTGTTTGAAGTCTCAGAAACTCACTGCTCGCAAGAAACAAACGGAACTGTGCGAGACGTGCATCAAGTAGTGAAGTTGTTAGTGGGTCGGTAACTCTGGAAACACGAGCTGCAAGTTTTTGCTAGCACTCTGTCAATATCCTCTTGCAGAAGCCACAAATAATGCATCAAGAGCGGATGAAGTACATTCAGGGACTGTACAGGGGAGTCAGGGTACCCGGCCAGGGATCGAAACAACGCTTGCACACTGCAAAACAGTTGCGTCGTACAAGGCGTAACACTCGAGTCGTCGAGGCTTCAGCCAAGACCAAGCAAAACGCTCGTTCTCATTCAGCGCATCTTTGTCCTGACACTCGATCGTGCATCAAAAAGCGTAAACAGCACAGCGCCACATCTGACATCTGACAGGAAAGCATCAAAATAACCAGTAAAAGAAGAAAATGAACGAGAGTTTGCTGCTTTTTTTGGCAGGCGAAGGCGCAGCGCGCGGCCGGCGTGCGCGTCAACAAGGATCCGTACGGTCACTCGTACTACCAGGGGATGGCCCCGGGCGCAGCTTTTGGCGCGAGCGCGGGCGCGGTCGGAGGAGCAACGGAGGACGAGGAAGATGAAGACATGGGGTTCAGCTTGTACGATGCTGATGAGTGAGACATCTGAACCCTTTCTTGTATGTTCGTCGCGAGGTCAAGGTCTATGATATTGAGGAGTTAGGTAAACCCTTTCTTGTATATTCGTCGCGGGAGTAAGGTTGCAGTTACACGAGATCTTGCCCGATCAGAAATTGGAGGTGATAAAGTACTTGAGTTGTTGTGTCCCACGTCTAGGGTCTACGAGCGAAGGGCTGAACATTTTTGAATCCTCTTTTTAGCTTTGATGCCAACGCAACTCAAAAATACGCTACTGTAGAGCAGACGGGGTCTGAAATCGGCAATCATCCAAATACTTAAATTCTCAAGTCGTAAAAGTCCACAAGAATTGTTCTACGTATTCCATTCCCGATCAAGCGGCTTCCGGGAAAGACCTAATTTGTGCCTCGACCTCAAAATGTACAAATCAAATTACATCAGAATGTTTGGGTCTCCAACCAGAAGATAAGCAGAGCGCGGACAATGCCGTTTCAGCTCACTGAAACGGCAAGTTCGGTCTTTTCGTCCTCTGCAACCGCAATCGCAATCGCACCCTATAACCGCACTCCTCGCCTTGTTTCCGCAGGTCAGTCGGCCTTCAAGGCGTCCAGAGTGTTTGGAGCCTCCCAGATGATGGGATATATAGCTTCTAGGCAAGAATAGAGACTCGACCATTTTCTATGATACATTATTTTGTAGTCTTACCGTTGGATCTAATGTCCGCTTTTTGACGCACTAACCAAACATGCAACAAAAGAAGACACTAATCAATGAAACAATAAAAACACACTGAGATAAGATGAAACAATGCTTTCTGCAGGTCAGCACGGCCGGCCGGTCTTTTGGGCGCCGTCTTGGGCCGTCGCACGCCGACTCCAGCAGCAGGCTCGACCGGTCCCTCGCCCGGTGACGCTCCCCCGGTCACATCCCCCGATGAGCAGAACTTGCCGGAGTGGGCGGGGAATGTCCCCGAGCAATCTGAGGAAGGGGCTCAGGCAGCAAAGGATGAGGGCGACCTGGAGTTTCCATTTGCTGATCTGGACGCTGACGTGGATCTCGATGAGGAGGACGAAGCTGACGTGGAAGGTGAGGACAAGTCTGGATAGACTCGACGAGATTCTTGTGTGCATTCATCACTTGGATTTACGGTCCCTTGTCACAGTTGTGCATCCGATGCTTCGAAGCGGACTGTTTACGTTTGACTGCCCAACCCACAACTGAAGAAAGCCTGAGGTTTTGAAATCTCAAAGACCGGTAGTGCTTCTCTTCGCGCAATCGCAAGCGAGGCAACCGCCGACTCCGAAAGGGCAAATCTGGGTTTCTCTGAGAACAATCTTCAGATGGTTGAAGTAAACCAGACGACCCGACCGCGAACCAGATCCGCTGTAAAGCGGAGTAGGCTTTCCCACCGGCTGTTTATTTGTTCTTTTTCCACCACCAAACTTCTATGTAGATTGCCTCCTTGCGCGAGAACCGGTTTTCGAGATTTCCCTTTTCCTGTGCCGCAGCGGAGCGCGCGAAGAAGCAACAGCGGATTCGCGCTTCCGTCAGAGTCTTTGCTCACGAGCGACAATCCACAAAGAAGCTGCACCAAGCATACCTGAGGTAAACCGCCGCTTTCGTCAATGTCAGCACCTTTTCGAAATAGTATCTGAACAGTTGACGTCTTGGACAGTATTCTCATTGTTGACTTCTTGGACCGCAATCGTCGCTTTCAAGAGCTGCTCTTAGGGATGATCTCCTTCTCTCAACAATCAGACCCGGAAAGATTGCACAACGGTCAAATATCCGCAATTTCCAACATTTATGTTCTTCTCCCAGAACCTTGTGACGACCTATTGTCCACTCAGACAATCTCTCTAGAGATCATTCAAGGAGTTCAGGTAGTTACGCTTTCCAAGCCGTTCCCGTTCCGCTCCTTCGTTCCGCCGCCCTGCCTTCGTAGGTTGACTAATCTGCAGGCCGCGAATCGTCACGGATCCTGGCTTCAGCTATTTGATGCCCTTATTTGTTTCCTGGTTCAAGGACGGGTCCATTACGAGGAAAGCAATCAAAACTTCCCTTCGTTGAAGAGCGAGACTCATTCGAACGCTTTTTGCTTGTTCCTTTGTCACCCGTGATTGATCCTCGAACGTAAATCATTACAATTGGTTTTGTTGAATTAAGGGCTGACTTTTGCATGATAAACTCCTGCAGGAGCATCCGCCGGTCTGACTTCACGGAGACGGTCTACTTCGCCGCATCCCTAGTTACCGACGCGCGCGGCCGCGCGGCCGCGGAGTTCGACCTGAGCGACTCCATTACGTCCTTCGCCGTCATCGCCGACGCCCACAAAGCCGTCGAATTCCAAACCGAGGGCGAAACCATTACCACCACCGTTACCAGGAACGGCACGACCGTTAAGGCGACCGCGAAGGGATCCTCCCGGACCGTCCGCACGTCGGCGCTCGGCGCGTCGAACGGGGTCTTCAAGATCCGGTCGGTGAAGCCGTGGATGCCAAGTGCCCCCTGGAGCTCACGACGACCGACCGGGTGCTCCTACCGGTCACTCTGACCAACGTGACGTCAGAGAACGTCACGGTGGCGGCTAAGGTGGGAGTGCGGGGGCCTCTGTCGCTGGAAGCAACGGAAGAGATCACCGGCGGGGCGCCAATGGACGTCGACGCCCCAGGGGATCCCCCGGCCACTTCCACAACGCTGAAGCAGACTCTGGAGGGCGCCGAAAGCGTCCGGGAGATCGTCCGATTCGTCGCGGGGGGGGCCGCTCTCACGGCGGCGTCTAAGGCCAATCCTGACGAGCCCACCCCCCTGGCGCGGGGATCGGTGACGGTAAACGCCGCGGCTTCGGTTCGGGGGGGTCCGAAGAGGGGCGGCCAACTGCACAAGGATAGCGTCAAGAGAACGTTTGCGGTGTCGCCGAAAGGATTTCCCCAGGAGCAGTCAGTTGGCGGAATGCTCAAGCCCGGAGGGGAAAATAGAGTGGGCGGGGAGTTTGCGCTGCCGGAGGACACGCAACCGGGGAGCGTGGTGACGTCAGTCACGGTGTTCCCGTCGCCAGTGAGTCTGTTTCTGCTCGCGCCATCTTTCGTGAGGCATGACGATAAATCAAGTTACATACCACCAACTTTGCGGCTCAGGCTGAATGGTCGTGCTTTATTCATCTCACGGAGGCGTCCAGTCCCGTGCCTAGTTCCCTGATCTACCCTCACTTCGTCCTCGAAACCCTTCTCTTCTCAATGCAACATTTCTCTCTGATACAACAAAGCGGATCTTATAGCCTCGAATGAACTTCCTGATCTTTCTTCAGAATCTTATCGACACTTTCCGTCCTGAAAACAGGTGCCCATGTGATTGTCGATGACTCCCGGGATCCTGTTCGCAATCTCGCTGAAAGAGACCCGCTTATGCCTTGCGCCAATTCCGCAGAAGCAGACCGTAGAAGTTCCTCGTCTTTTCCAGGTGGCAAGCCTGACGAGCGCCGCGCAGGCTCTCGTCCGCGAGCCGTACGGCTGCTTCGAGCAGACGTCAGCAGCCGTGTTCCCCAACGTCATGGCGCAGCAGTACTTCAAGACGCACCCCGGGGCGTCGCCAAAGCTTATGGAGAAGTCGTATATGCTATTGGGCTCCGGCCTGGAGCGGCTGAGGGGATTCGAGGTGGAAGGGAGCGGCGGTTATGACTGGTTCGGAAAGGCGCCCGCGCACGAGGCGCTGACCGCATATGGGCTGCAGCTGTTCACGGATATGGCGCAGGTAGGAGCCCGTATATCCGTTGGGTAAGCTCTTATGTATCTTTTCCAGAGAGGATTCTGCGCGGAGTGGCTTTTGGGCCGGTAGCATCGGTTTCAAGAGCACTTCGCATCTTGCAGATAACTGTATGGATTGCGAAAGCCGAAACAATTGTTTTAGTTACATTGCCGGCCTCGTAGGTGATAACTCGTTCCTGCGCAATACTGAGCAAAACGGTGGCTCAACAATTCGTCAGCGTACGTCACGGCTGTTGACATCTTTTTCGAAGTTCGTTACAGGAGACACGGACTGAATAAACAGAAGGCAGCGCCGCTTGTCTACGCTGGTGTTCTGCTCAGGTCCGCTGAGGTTCCAAAGTGTCGAATCCAATCGGTAGCTAGAACCGGTCGCCACGAAACTCCCGGGCCCACTCGGGCCTGTTTGGTCCCGGCTCCATGCCCTTCAATGTTCTTTTCTGCTGCCTTTGTTGTTCCGCTGCGAATAAGTTTGTAGTGACTCCCGCAACCGTTCCGCAGGTCTACCCCGTCCCGAAAGACATGATCCGCCGGACTCGCGACTGGCTCCTGAGCCGCAAGAACGACACCACGCGCGCGTTCAACATGCATACGTATACGGTGTGGGGCGGAGTCGGCGCGGCGCCTGCTGACGTCAACAACGCCTACATCGTGTGGTCGCTGACGTGTGCCAACATGGGCGACAGCCTGGAGCCGCAGGTAGACTAATTCTAAAGTTTGCTCTGTTGAAACACTTGTGGTCTTCAGAGACCAACAATCAAATCAGCCCAAAGTCTAACATTCACATCGGAAACCTAACATTTTAGCACAGACTCTGAATTTCGAAACCTGAAACTCAGCTCCCAGTGCCAGGATCCAAGCTCTCAACGTCAGATGCGGGAACTCTCAAGCTTTGCGATCCAGAACCTCTCAGAGTACGTTTCAGAAAGGGAAAGATAATACAAACCGCTTCTTGCTCTTCGCGCTTTGTTACAAGCAGTCCACCGTCCCGCTCAATACTGCCTCTCGAACGTCCGCTCTATGTGCAGATTGCCAGCCTAGTGGAGCAAGCGGCGACCAACAAGGACCCGTACTTTGTTGCCATGGTCGCCGACACGCTCTACAAGGTGGGGCGCAAGGATGAGGCGGGACAGCTGGCACGTGGCCTCCAGAAGCACCAGGTAAGAGACGTGTCGTACCGGAAGCAAGTACCGAAACCTGAAACCTTCATTCCATACCGGTTTGCTCCCTTCTTCAGAAGGACTTCGCGATTGGTACCTTCGAAGCAAGAAAAAACGTTTCAGAGGCAGAGGAACCTTTCTTGTGAAGATGGACGAAGGTTAGCCGTCGCCCTTCCCAGCTCATCTTGTAGTGCTTGACGAGTTTGATACGTTGTTCCATGTTCGCGTCCGTTTCGCGACGGGCACATTCGACGCACAGATTCTGTGACATATCCCGGTCTTGAGACTCATATTCCTTATCTAAAGTGACTCTGCAAAAACATGGGGACTTATTGCCAGGATGTTAGAGAGGAAAAAGATCCCACAAAGCTTCTACCTGAAGCGGATTCTATCTTCAGTCTTCCGCAACTTTTCACGACCCTACTCGAATTTTCGAAACTTCTGGACCCGCAACCCTTACACCCCGAACTCTGCAGAAGGCCGACGGTTCCGTCCGTGGCGCCACGACGTCAATCACGCGCTCGGGCGGCGACTCCCTGCTCGTCGAAACCACTGCCCTGGTCGCCCTCTGCTGGCTGAACGACGTCGAAACCTTCGGCGCGGCCGCGCGTCGCGCGATCGACTGGATTGCAACTAGGTGCGCGGGCGGCAGATTCGGATCCACGCAGGCGACCGTGCTCGCGCTCAAAGCGATTGTGCGCTATGACGTCGCGGTGACGTCAGCGCGCGCGCCCGGGACGGTGCACTTGGTCGTGGACGGGGAGCGCGTGGAGAGCATAGCGTATGGCGCGGGAGCGGTGGGCGCCATAGCATTTGGGGACGTGGCGCCGCGGATGAAGGCCGATGGGCGCGCGCGGAATGTGGAGGTGGAGATGGAGGGCGGGGCGCTTATGCCGTGCGCGATCCAGGTGACTTCATAGCGCATACAACCCTCTTCTCTCGCGCAGAACCGCTGTAAGCCAAGCGTTGCTTTTTATTGGAAGCGGACTTTGTTCGCGTGGGCGCATCCTAGAAGCGCCGGCGAGCGTTTCAATTCAGGCCCTTAGGCACCAGAATAACCCAATAGATGTCTCTGGCAAAACGCCAAGGGCGTCAACAATCCATCTCTTAGATTCACTTAACTCATCAGAAGGTGATTGACTCCACTTCATTTTAGTAAGATCCTTTGATGCTACGTCTCTGGTCATATGGTCATGTTCCGCGTGTAACATTTGGCAACCCACCCGCTCCGTTTCCGCTCCAGCTCCGCTACCACTCGGAGCGGCCCCCCTCCGCGGCCGCGGATGCAGTCGCGCTGCGCGTCGCGCTGGCGCAGCCGGCCGCCCGGGATGGCGACCTCGTCGAGGTTTTGGTGACTGAGAAACCAGACGAGGCGCTTCCGATCCGCCCAATGACATTCCGCTTTCCGCCGCAGGTCCGCTACCACTCCGAGCGCCCCCCTTCCGCGCCCGCGGCCGCGGTCGCGCTGCGGGTCGCGCTGGCGCAGCCGGCCGCCCGGGAGGGCGACCTCGTCGAAGTCCTGGTGACCCTGAATAATACAAAACCAGACGAAGAGCTGCCCATGACGGTCGCCATCGTCGGCCTGCCGGGGGGCCTCGAGCCGCGGCACGACCAGCTCAAGGAGCTCGTGACACGTGGCGACGTCGCGTTTTACGAGGTATGGATCCTGCAACTCCCGGAAGCTCTCGGCTCTTTCGCCAGGGAGCTCAGTAATTGCCAGGTATCTTTGGTGGAAGGACAACGGAGCAAGTAAGCGGATCACTGCATTGGGGTGTCCTCCACGTCGGCTAGGAGGAGGTGCATTCAAGTGAAGCGTGGTCATTCCAGCATGGCAGATAGGTGCATGATTGCACGAAAGAGCCGTCCAAGCGCTCAAGTCCGTTCTCTCGTCGACGCGGGAAGATGCGGTTTCCCTAAATTGGCTGAGGCCTCCGCTTCTTACTGCGTTGTTGACACTCCGCTGAAGATACTGCGCTGTTAACGTCACGCCACTCATCTTCGAATACACCTGAACGTCCGATGGGCACGTTTCTTGGCGTCCTTATCGTTCTCTCCAACCGGAGCTTCCCTTGAATCTGGCATCTGTTACCAAGCCGTCACCTACTCGCAAGAATCATTCAGTCCTCCAATCTCGCATCTGTTATCAAGCCATCACCTACTCGCAAGAATCATTCACTCCGCCAAGACGAGAAGAAGGAGCAGGTCCCTCAAAAGCTCCACTGTCCTTTTTGATTGCAGATCCGCGGCCGTGAGGTCATCTTCTACTGGCGCGCCCTGGCGGCCAATCAGACGGTGGCGCTGCGCGTGGAAACGACGGCCGCGGTTCCGGGCGAGTACATCGGTCCCGCGTCGAGAGCGTATCTCTACTACACAGATGAGCTAAAGACGTGGGCGGAACCCCTGAAGTGCAGCATCGCCCCAAAGTAGAGCCTCAGAGGAGATGCACTAGTTCAACCTGGAAAATTTGTGCATGATGTTTTGAGTAGAGGTTCACTCATATGACAAGCTGGTGATCGTCTTACTTTCAGGAGAACAGGGTATTCTGATTGGCGGTACACTAGCATGCCAGACATCGTCGCCCCAGAAAAAATGATTTCTTTTTAGGGAGTTCGAAGATAAGAAAGGGTGACTTCACTTGCTTTGCCATAGATGTTCGCAAAGTAGGGCTTTATTACATGGCATACTCCCGGCACATGTACGATGTGAGTGGCTCCACAACCAATATGATATGGTGGTTGTAATGTCCATAACAAAGAAGGCATGCGCCCGTCGTCTCGAGCAATTGTCCCCTCTGACCCAGGAGCCAATTGCTTAGACTGCAAACTCTGGCAGACCGTCGTCCATGCGGGTTACATGGTTTCCTCCAACAACATCGGGGCCCCCGAGCCGTGCATGAAAAACAATGGGGCCGGGATCAAAGAAGGTTGGAACGCTTATTCTGATCATTATCGCGAATTTCGCGGCATATGGTACTATGGGCACATATAATTCTCGAATTAGCGTGATCATCCCGGCCAGATTTTCATACTAGGCTGCAAGCGCGCTAATCATTCATGAACTTTAATTAAGCTATTGAATGTCTTCGTACGTGTACGCACTTCGATTCTCCAGGCTGCTATGATATATATGTATACGACGTAAACTTATGATCATTGGTCACTGAGTAATTCTCGATACGGTACAATGATATGTATCTCTGATTGACATTGAGGCCTTGTGAGTTCTATTAAAGAAAAATTCTTGCAGTGCATCACTTCGTATGCATGATCGTACATCCAGTGACCACTATAGCTTGATCGAAACTGAATCACAAAGCGGCACTTGCTTTCGAAACTGGGTGATTTACTTCACCGATAATAGATCCTCATGCAAAAGAGCAGTATGGTTTGGAGATCGTCTATCAGTATGTACAGCCCGAACATCAAAGGCCACCGTATCGTCGGGAGATATTGCCGAGCAACGTAGGACGCGATTGACTGGCTATCGGAATCTGCTAAAGCGCCGCAAATGGTACAATAGCGGGCGCACAGGCACACAAATTTGACATCACCAGCAAGTCACCTGTTCGTCGTGGCTTAGCTGAAATAGTTCATGGCCTTTCAGTATTCTTGGACGCTAAAGTGTGTCAAAGCAGCAACTTGCCTACCACTAGAGCTTAACCCGAAATACTGGCTTTATTACTGATGAAGCTTACAACAGGTCGCGGCCGGGCAGCGAGCCACTGTATCTAAATCAGCAAGTCCTCGGGGTCCACTCTTACGAGGGCGCAAGGTGCCTTGCTTGGGACAGAAGCAAAGTTCGTACTCACCGCCATAATCTCATCAACATAAGCACCCTTACTTTATGTTTTGGAACACAGACTCGAGGCCCGCAAGCCTCACCAGAACTGCTTACTTGAACCCAGACGTACTCACTCTCGGAATCCCCTCGCTAATCGTACAGGCCATCTTGATCCCAGACGTCAACGAGAAAATCGACCATCTCCTGTTGGACAAAGCAGATATGCTATGTCAGCGGGGCAACATGAGCGCTCGACGCAGGTGACGTGGCGACCATAGCCTCAACGAGCTTCCACATAATGAAGTCCGTTCTGATCAATGGACAAAGTCAAGGGGGAAAGATTGGGCAAACTCCATGGTCTGCATGATGAACGTTGCATCTTTAATACCCGCCTACATAGGAGCCGTTTGTGTCTCGAGTTGTTTTTCCAGCACGTATCTCGTACTGCAACAGCCTTTGACCAATGTGCTGCGAGGCAGAAGCTTACCGGAAGCGGTATTGGCTGTGCAAACGGTTGGCTGGTGGTCAACAGGTCTTCGTACGTAGCATCCGGGCTGCAGGCCAGGCGCACAAGCTGACTCAGACACGGACAGTTGGAGAGCTCTAGCGACTCGCATATGGCGCCATGTGTTGAGAAACTGATTGTTTACAGGGCTCTGTAAAGTCACATGTGGAATACCATGTGCGGATAGCAGCCTGATCCGCTTGTGTCAGACAGACACCGGTGTGCGCTGGGTCGAAAGTGGGAGAAGTTTTTCAGTTTCAATCGCTCATCTTCCGGTGAAACCAGAAGTCTGTATTGTTCAGAATCCGGACGCATGCCCAGGCTCTCCGAATCGCTCCCGGATGCTTTGGAGAAGGGCTTTGAACAGAATAAAAGAAGAAAGCTGTTTGACCAAGAAATGCACAAGCATCATGGAAACGAAAAGGGAAAGAGAAGCTTTTCTTCGAAACAGAGAGGCCAGAACTGCATTAGGTTAGTGACAAAGCCACTATGTAGATTTAGAGGCACCGCACGAATTGAAAAGTTGCAAGTGGTCGCCGAGAACGAGGCAGGGAGGACGGTGAACGCAATCTACTGATCTCTGTGGCGGACAGCCGGGGCCACGAGCTTTGGGACGAGCTCTCGCTTGCACCAACCGTGCTTGCGCAGACAAAACTGATGTAGATCCACACGCAATCTGACGAGAAAGCAGGAGAACGAGCGCTTAAGCTCACCTGATCGCAGGCTGCCTCCGGGCGGGTCGTTGACGGGCCCGGTTGCCTACCCACTCGCGCCGCTGCTCTACCCACAGGTTATAAGCTGGAAGAAGCAGAAGGGAGAAAAGGTATAAGCACAGGGCAAAAAGAGAATATGTGGAAAGGAATGAGGTCAAGGAAAGTGGTTACGAGCAAACGGAAGATGCTTACAAGCCGGAGGAACAAGGCGATGGCAGCCAAGAGCAAAAAGGCGGAACAGGGAGGCAGAGAAGGGAGGCAAAAGCGCAAACAAGCAGGACAGAAGTAAGCAAGAGCTGACATTGCAATGATGCGGCCGACAGGAACCCGACTGGAGCAGCGAGCAGAGTCGACAGAATAGCATAGGATATTGGAACCAGGACGTACTGTCAAAGTTTTCCAAGCAATCCTGCGTGTTTTCCGGACTGGTTCATGTCTTTGGTATACTTGCATGCCCTTCCCTCTCTGTTCGCTTACCATCGTTAACAAAAGGCGCTGCACTTCCGCTTGCGTCCGCTTGTCGAGACTGCGGGAGTGCCTCCGCCCTCACGCCCGAACTGGTCGACGGCCCCGCCTCTGCTTGTCGAGCGCCTGACGACATCAAAGCGGCGTGTCAGCTTCGTGTACTTCACAAAAAACTTTCTTGCAGCAACAGACGATAAAAGGCATGGATTAAAACCGACATTTAGGTCTACTGACCCTAATCACGCGTCCTTAAGCTGGCGTATTATCCCGCTTTTGCCATAGCCGCTTTCTTTGCTTGCAGATTGCATAGACTTTCATTTTGCGCTTCGGAAAGACAATCACTCAACCTTGCTTACCTGCACTAACCCCTGCCTGCGCGCGCTCCCTCCTGAGTTCCGACATTGCGCTCGCTACCCCCCCTCCTGCCCCTCCCCCC